ATTGTATAATTCTACCATTTTGCCAGGTTTGCCAAAAATGGTACTCTACTTGTGGGATTGTGTAATTGTAGGATTTCCTTTGTCCTGGATGGAAATAAAGGTTATTATAAAGTAGCATTTTATTTCCTCATTTAAAAGATGAAAACTGAATTCTGCCATCCATGGATTTTTCTTGATGTCTTTCTTTTCTCATTTTTCTGTGGCCTGTGGTGTGTCTGTTATCTGGCTTATGTTCATTTATTTATATTTGCTGTCTTTATTGAAGCACAGATGCAGGACAGACATTTCATCAGTACTGTTGTGTATTTAAAACATCCTTTTAAATAACTTTCACCTTTCATTCTTTTGTCCATCAGTGGTTTTGCTCACACTTTTGTTGATGCCCTGCCTCAGTTTTAGCAGCTTAGCTCTTTTACACCATCATATTAATTCACTTTTTTCTGTGTCAAGGGTTGGAATCATCTTCTGCTCACACTGAATGCCATGGGGCTGTCTGGGCAACCAGAGGCAGTTTGGGGCCATGGTTGTGGTCTTACCTGGCATAGAGACATCCCAGCCAAGCTCTGCATCAGGCATGTTTGGGACACCAAGCTGCTACACCAGGCCCTGTAGGAGCATCCCTGTTCTGCCCCTGTTCAGCTCCCTGGTGTATTACCAATGTCTGGAGTAAGAGTTTTCAGCCCAGCCAGATCCTGCTGCTGGCAGCCAGTTTAGCCTTTTGCTCAGATTAATTATTCCCTGCCCTAGTTTCATCGCCCCCCCTCTCATGGTCGGCAGTGGCTCCTCCCCTCCTGGCCTCCACATACTTCAAATATTTGCAGCTGGTTTGTTTTGTCCTGAGTCACTGCTTGCCTGTGCTGAGCTGTGGGCCCGGGGCCGGGCTTGCCTCGCGGCTGGGTGCAGCTCCACGGAGATTGCTGGGATTGTGCTGGGCGCTGATGGGCGGCACGTCCCTCTCCAGGGAGCGCTGGTGCCCGCGGGATGCTGCCAGGTGAGCCCTGAGCACGGGGGGCGAGGCACGCCTTTGGGATGCACATGCATCCCGTTGGAGCTGGGCTTTGTGGGTCAGCTCTGCTCCCAGAGCGGGGCAGGGAAGACCTCTCATTGCATGGGTGCTCCCGCTAGGAGGTTGGGTAATAACGATTCAAAGTTTTCGTTCATTGGAAGAAAGTGGATGACGGTGGCATTTGTGAGATGAGCGGGATGAGCCGTGTGATTGCAGTCGCAAATCACAGCCTCCCCAGGAAGGGCAGAGCTGGGAGTGTGCTCCATCTTCACACCTCACTGCCAGGGCTGGCTTAGGAGCTGCTGTTGGGTCTCTCATGGCCCCAGCAGGGGCACCAGCAAAGCTCAAAATCAGGTGCTCCTGGGAGCCTGTCTCAGACCATCAAACCGAGGAGAAACAGGAGAACAGAATCCGACTCTCTGAAAATCGTGATTGAGAACGTTGTTTTTGGAAATGTATTTCTGAATGCCTGTTTGGCAACTGTATCATGGGTAAACATGAATTTGTCACTGGATTGGAATTTGTTGGCTTCATTAAAAATACGAGTCATATTCCTGCAGGCCAACAAAGCCCATTCAAGCTGTGGTGTGTGTCTTAGCATCTCCAGAGTTGATGGGCATGATGAATTAAATTGAAAGGTAACATCTAAATAGAAAATCTATGGAGTAAAATTGAGATGTGTTTAAAAAATACTTACTAGGTGGGCATAATTCACAGCTGTGAAATTGGTGGGTTTAGTGAACTGCTTGATAAGCCTCATTTAGGGAAAACTGCTATTAAACACACAAGAATGTGTGACAAACAAGAAAAATAAATTCATGGCAATTAATAGAGATAGTATGAAATACAAAAAGTGAAAGTTTTTAAATGTATCAGAAACAAACACTAAGTAATACATATTGGTCAGATAAAAGAGATAAATATTACAAATAAATTCTGTATTTGAATATTTTGAGCTGTAAGGGTTTGGAAAGAAGTAGGACAACTTTTGAGTTCATTGCTGAAGGAGGATGCTGGACCAGGGATAAACAAGAGTTTTAGGAGACTTAACTGCAATGTAGTCTTGTTTTTGAAGGAATCTTGAAATATTCAGAAAGAGCAAGAAGGCCAGAGGAGAATTAATTTGTATGAGTTTTCAAAATCATGCAAAATACTGATACAGTGTAAGTGGGTAGAACTGATGCCCAGCATTGTCAGGTCATCCAGGCTCAGCTGATAACTACTGTGGGCTTAAAATCTGTGCAGGGAAGGGTTTAATTTCCCTTCCATAGGCAGGGACTTGAGACTTGCCAAAGAAGGGTGTCACGGAGCTGGCAGTCTCACAAGTGTGGGTTGAATCCTTGCCACAGGGTACTTTCTGTAAGGGCCTGACCTAGATTTCCTTGCCTGGGGTTTGCTTGGTGGAGCGTGGGGAGCTGCTGCATTTGCCAGCAGCGCTGGGCATCCCCAGCTCTGTTTTGGTGAGCTGGAGCCAAACACATGCTGTGCCTGCAGTTTAGCTGTGGCTAAGGCTGGGAGCACTGCAGGGTTGTTTGGTGGTGCAGTAAACTCCCCAGGCCTCCTGTACAGAACTTAATGTGGTGGCATTTTTCCTGGGGCTAAATATAAAATCCTGTTCTTTGACCAAAGCAATTGTAATCTTTTCCATTTGTCTTCCCAAATGCTGCTGTGTGGGTCATTTCTGGCTGTGATTTTGGCTTGTCTTAATTGTCAAGATTCTTCCCAGCCCACCCCATGCAGTAGTATCATCTCACCCCTGCCCCCTCTGGGTTTCACACACCTGTTTGCATTGCAAATTAACACCTTCCTGGTTCTTCCAGGCTGCCTTCCCACTTCAGCTTGCTCTCCTGCAAAACAAATGCCATGTCTTCTTTAAAATAACTCATTTGCTGTTACTTCATTAACTCTCTGAGCCACAAAGACCTGCTGACTGTATTATCTTAGTGTTTAGCTGTGTCTCCTGTACATTTTTCTGCTCATATCCTGTTCAGGCTCCAAGTGCTGTGTCTAGGGATATCCCTATGGGTGCTTGTAGAGGACCTGGCACAGGAGGGCCCAGTCTGCTGCTTCTGAAACTTTGCAGATGTTGTGGAAATGCAAAGAGCAAAACCAGTTATACCCAGCATCTGCTCTGAGGCCCTCTTTGTGGATTCCTGCTGCATTTGAGTTGATAAAGTTTATCACTGGGGTCTGCTGGAAAGCCAAGACAGGCTCTGATGGGGTTAACTTAAGGATACTTGCCAGTAGGAATCAGTGGAGCCTTTTCTTCCCAGTGATGGCCTACTAAATGAAGTGCTGGTTGTGTCGCTGAATCCTCCTCCATGGAGCTGGTTGTTTTGCCTCTCCCCAGGCTGGATTTCAAGGCAGGGCAGCAGAGATGCCAGCTTAGAGAGATGAGTATCTTCCCTCCCATACTGAGAGCATCTGTGTTTCAGCTGGGTTTCCCATTTGCCAGGCTGGCACTGGAAATGATTTTGAAGTTTTTCTTTGTGAAGAGAAGTGCAGTAGTTTGTCTTCAGCCCAGGTAGCTGTAAGAACTTGCTGTTTGGTGCTGATGCTCCTGGTTTCTGCCGAGGCTGCTCTGCAATGGGAAGGCCAAGAGGGCTGGCATGGTTTCAGATAATCATGGGCTGAGTCAGTGTCTCAGCTTGGGTGTCTTTTCATTCTCAGAGTGTTTCAGTGTGAAGACCCTGGCCTGGGGGAGCAATGGACGGGATGCTTAGGCTGAGGCAGCAATTTTCCCTTCGTTCTCGGAGTGTTTCAGTGTGGTTCCCCCTGGCCTGGGGGAGCAATGGACGGGATGCTTAGGCTGAGGCAGCAATTTTCCCTTCCCATGTTTCATGCTGCCGTGCTGGGTACTGCCATCACCGCACAGAGCACGGCTGGGGACTGCTTGCAACCTGCCCAGCACCGGGGCAGAAGCGGCTGGAGCAAGGGGGTCTCTTAGGGCTGTGCACAGTCAGTACTGTGGTACCAGGATAAGTCCCAAGCCCTGCTGGGTGTCCCGGGGATTAAGCTGGGCTGAGCCTCTGTAGTCTGACGCTGTCCCTGGAGAGGTCAGGGACCTCTGGAAGTGCCTGTCCTGCAAAAACATTCCTAGAAACGTCTGAGCTGGGGCATGTCTGCAGCTCTAAAAAACATTCTGCTGATGGAGGGCAGCTGGGGTGCATTTGTGGGATCGGCCATTGACATGGAATGGGGTACCGGAGGCAGGCTGGCGCTGCAAGGGGCTCCGTGCTGCCCTGAAGTGGGGGAGCCCCGGGTGTTGCTGGCCGCGCAGGGCCGGGGCGGCGCGGGGGGAGCGCTGTGGCCGCGGGCTCGGCCCGAGGGCGCAGCCTTCGAACGCAGGAGCGGCGGGGCCCGGGGATCCGCGGCGGGATGAAATGTCTCACTGGGGGCGGAGGGGGCTGGGCCGGCCCGGGGCCGCAGTGGCACAGAAAACCAGGAGGGGAGGCGGCCGCGGGTGTCGGACGGGGCCGAGGAATGCGGCCGCAGCCCCGGGCCCTGCGGGCGGGGCGGCCCGGCCCCGCTGGCCGGGATCCAGCTCCGGGCTTTGCCGGCGGCAGCAGCGCTGCGGTGCCCGGGGCCCTCCCGGCCATTGAGATGGAAATGCCCCGGGCCTGGAGAATGGAGACCCTGTTCCCAGCCTGAGGGAGGGGCGGCCGCCATTGCCTAGCGGGGCTTTCCCCGTGTCTGCAGCTTCCCGGAGGAGCCGCGGGGCGGAGAGGAGCCGGGCCCCGCCGGTGTCGGGGCAGACCGCGTGCGGCAGGTCTGTTGCCCGCCGTGCCGGTGCCGGGGCTTTGCGGCGCTCCTGGTGCTGCCAGGCTGGGCTGCGGGAGCAGCCCTGGGGACGGGCCCTCTGGAAAGGCCCTCGGACTCTCAGTAGTGCTGTTTCTCAGTCCCAAAGGTTACATGTGTAGCAGTTCAGGTGCTGTTTGTCTCCTGTCCCTGTATCCTTGCTGGAGCATGCTGATCTCGATTGTCTGTCTTGCAGAGATGACTCTCCTGTCCTCCCAGACACCATCCCTGGAGCCATCCTCGGCCACCACTGAGAGCGCAGAGCAAAGGATGCTGGAGAAGAGGGCCAAGGTTATTGAGGAACTGCTCCAGACAGAGCGGGACTATATCCGAGACCTGGAGATGTGTGTGGAGAGGATCATGGTGCCCCTGCAGCAGGCACAGGTAGGAGCTGGGAAAGGAGGGAAATTTTAGGGTGCAGCACTGGTGGATTGGGCTGAGAATACTGAGTCCATTTAGTTCTCAGAGGGGTCTACACAGCATAGGAACTCATAGAGGAAATTAAAGCTCTTCCAAGGGTTCCCACAGCTCCCTGCACTTGTTGCAATAAGCCCATCTGCTTTGAGATACTGCTGAACCCTCATCCTTGCTGGGAATAGGAGACCTGGCAGCAAGTATCACACATTGGATTTTTTGGTGCAGAAAAAGTTCCTCTTTGTTTGGTTATAGGTTAAATTCATTGACAGGAGAAATAAGATATGGGATCTTGGCATGGGGGACAGATTTAGTGAGAGGAAAAAGAGAAAAGCAGGTGACCAGAGGCAGGGGTGGAATTGCTGGGAAAGAAAAGGACACATAAGGAGTGAGAGTTTCAGTGCACTGGGGGGCAAGGGAATGTGTACAGGAGTCACTGTGATGAGAGGAGGTCGCACCAGGTACCTGCTGTGAAGCTGACTGATGGGTTGCAGGGGGGCAATGGGAGGGCTGTTTAACTGGGACATGTTACCCATCCAGGACATCTCTTTTCCCATTCACTAGATGCAGAACATAGACTTTGAGGGCCTTTTTGGAAACATCCACATGGTAATAAACTTCTCCAAGCAGCTGCTGTCCGCCTTGGAGGCTTCAGATGCCATCGGTATGAGTCCTGCTGTTTCCTTTCCTCAGAAGGCTGGGATGGGCATTGCTAGTGGCAGGGCATAACAGTTCAAATGATGGGAGAGGATCACTGGGGCTGGGCTTTCTCCTTGCTGTACCCATCACCACTCATCAACAGTGAAGCCAGGGATATCTGTGTTGCCACAAGGGTGACTGCTCAGCCACAGTGCCTGTGGCTGTCCATGGCCCTTTGTCCCAAAGTGCTGCCAGCTTGAGCCATTCATGCCTTGGGCTGCCTGTGCCTTTGCTCTGTGGCTCCTGTGACCAATGTCTCCACTGCTCCCCCTGGGAGACCTGGATTGATTGAGCTCTCTGTGTTGGTTGGTGATGAGGAGGGGTCCTGCATGCTGTAGTAGAGCTATTCTCTTGACCTGTGTGTGTGGAATGGGGACACTGGATGTCTTATCAAGGGACACAGCAGTGTTTTTGGAGGCAGCTGGGGACCAGGAGGCTCTGAAGTCCTGCTTTGCTGCTGTCTGCAGGACCAGTGTTCCTGACACATCGTGCAGAGCTGGAGAGTGTCTACAGGGTGTACTGCCAGAACCATGATGAGGCCATTGCACTGCTGGAAACCTATGAGAAGGATGAGAAGTTGCAGAAACTACTTTTGGACCTGCTGGATAGCCTCAGGTTTGAGCCTCCTCAGGTGGCAGCCACCAGACTGGGATAGGGGGATCAGTTTCCAACACCCCTGCCCCTCTTCAGCAGTGTTTAGATAGTTCAGGTGGTGGCTGCAGAGGGTGGCACTGTATAGTTGACCAGGCTGTGGGTTCAAATGGCCCCCTGCCCCAATGCACACGTGCTGGGAAACCTGTAGACCCCCTTAAAATCTGCATAGGAGCCACCAATGTATAGAGAAGGTGGCATGTCCTGGACTGAGGGCTCCTGTTCCCCAAACCCTGAGCCGCCACAGCTGCTGAGGAAGGAGCTGCTTTGCCTGGCTCAGTGAGTGCCAGGCTCCAGTTTGTGGAGTTAACTGCCCCGGGAGCCAGCAGTGCTGATGGCTGCTCTGGGAGGACAGGGCTGCCCACTGCCCTGGCAGCCTCACTGGGCAGAACATAGACACTGGCTGTGGGATTGCACACCTGCCACCCCATTAACCCTTGCTTTTCTTTGCTTTTTGGCACTCTGTGGGCCAGCAGGAGCCTGTACAGTGAATGGTGAGTACTTCCTCTTAGTCCCTGCTTGTGTGTCTGTGTTGGTCTGGCCATTCCCTTGTAACTAACCTTCTGCCACAGGCTGGGTGCATGCTGGGCTGCCCTAACAGTGCCTTGTGGAGGCATGACTGGGAGGAGAAGGGTGTCTGTGGCATGATTGCAGCAGAGGCAGTGGGTGGGCTGCACAGGTAGGCAGCACAAATGATGAGGCAAGGGGGGACCTTGGGCAAGAAACAGGATTTGGGAGCCCTCAGCCCCAAGGAGCCAGGAAAGCCCTGGAGTGACTGCAGTCCTGCAGTCTGTCCAGCATTGGAGGACAGATGTGGGCAGTTGATTGGTGGATCAGCATCTGAAATAAGTGGCTCTCTGACACTTATGAGGCTGTGCCTATGTGGGATTTCATGGTGGGCCTGGTAATGAAGAGGATCCTGGCTGGGAAGTATCACCTGCTGTGAGTGAGGAGCAAAACCCTGGGGTTGATCTGAGAGCACCAGGAGTTCAGGAGTGCAGTGAATTTGGACATAAGGGTGGCTTGATGGGGGGAGTACAGTGGATTTAGAGGCATTGGAGTTCTAGGTCTGGTTGGGACTGGTTTGAGGGGGCAGAATGTGTGTGGCAGAGCCGGACCGACACCTGATGCATCTCCTTTGTCCTGACTTTCCAGGGGTTGCACAAACTACATTAACCTGGGCTCCTTCCTCATCAAGCCAGTGCAGAGGGTGATGCGGTACCCGCTGCTGCTGATGGAGCTGCTGAGTGCTACCCCCGAGGCTCACCCTGACAAGGCACCACTCACGGCTGCTGTCCTCGCCGTCAAAGAAATCAACGTCAACATCAACGAGTACAAGCGCCGGAAGGACCTGGGTGAGGAGCTGGGCAGTGCTGGGCACAGAGAGACAGGAGTGGGTGTGCTCAGGTCAGTGTCTGCTGGCCACTGAGCCTTAGCTGGCAGCCATGGCCATGGAGGAGCTCTCACTGCTTAGGGGAGTTTGGCCCATCACCTTTGTAACTGCCCTTCAAGTAGCTGCTAGTAGTGAGCAGATCCCCCTCTGCCTCCTCATGTCCAGCCCATGTGGCTCCCCCAGCTCTCCTCATGAATTAGGAGATGTGGTTCTCCCACGTCTCTCAGGCACGAAAACTAGACACAGTACACAAGTGTAGCCTCCCTGGGGCTGAACAGAGGGAGAAGATTACTCCCTTTGATACCTGCTGGCCATCCTCCCTGTTTTCCCTTGAAACCCCCAGTTTGTGCAAATCTTGCACTTTAGTCTTTCCTCATAGCCCCACCGAAGCTGAGGTGACAGAGGCTGCATGTAATGATTGCTTGTATTTGCTAAAGAAGCAATATAGACACCTTCTGTACGTCCAGAGACTATTGTACATCACCTCCTATGTCATCCTGTGCTGGCACTATGCATAATCCCGTGGGAGAGCTTGAATGGTTTGTCTACAAACTAGGGCATCTCAAGAACCAAACAGGTGACATGGTGCTGGATGGGATGGGAGGTTATGATACAATATCTTACAAGACCATGTAGTGATAGGGCTGGATAATGGCTTTAAGCTGAGAGGATTTAGATTTAGATCAGATATAAGGAAAAAGTCTTTACAGTGAGGGTGGTAAGGCACTGTATCAGGCTGCCTGCAGAAGTTGTGGATGCCCCACCCAAGGAGTGTTCAAGACCAGGTTGGATGGGGCTTTGAGCAGCTTGGTCTAGTAGATGTCCCTGCCCATAGCAAAGGGCTTAGAACTAGATGATTTTTAGGTCACTTCAACCCAAGCCATTCGTAATGGTATGTGGGGTTCTTGGGGCTACAGAGGCTTGGGGAAGAGGAGAACTAACAAGAGATTGTTGGTGAGGCGTTTGTGCTTACAAGGGTTTTGATTTCTGTATTAATCTCTTCAGTGCTAAAGTACAGAAAAGGGGATGAGGATAGCCTCATGGAGAAGATCTCCAAGCTCAACTTCCACTCTATCATCAAGAAATCCAACCGTGTGAGCAGCCACCTCAAGCACCTCACAGGCTTTGCACCCCAGGTACTGTGCATCAGGTGCACTTACTCCCTGCAGTGCTTCTCCAGAGTATCTGCTGTCCCTCCACACCCCTGCCCCCCATCCAGCTCTGATCCAGGCCAGCGAGGCAGAGGGAGCTTAGGGTCTGAACCAGCCATCTCTGCTGTCCAGCTTGGGGACAGGAGGGTCCCATAGCTTGTAGTCTGGGAGGTGCTGAGTCTGCATCGCCTCCCTTAAAACACTTTCTCTCACAGCTAAAGGATGAAGCCTTTGAAGAGACAGAGAAGAACTTCCGGATGCAGGAGCGTCTGATCAAGTCCTTCATCCGGGACCTTTCCCTCTACCTGCAGCATGTCCGGGTGAGCCAGTCTGGGTGTGATGCCAAGCCTGTGGGGCTCACCATGCACTGCCCCTCCTGTCTGCATGGTGTGTCCCTGCAGTGCCTCTGGCCACGGCTCCTGCCCCAGCTCTTTTGGGGCTGGGTGGTCTGGGCTGTGCTGGGAGCTCCTTCTGGGCAGCAAGCATGGCTCAGCTGTGTCTCCTTGGTGCAGGAGTCAGCTTGTATGAAGGCACTGGCAGCAGGGAGCATGTGGGACCTGTGCACAGAGAAGGGAAGTGGGGACTTGGACCAGTTCCAGAAAGTGAATCGTCTCATCAGCGACCAGCTCTTCTCCAGCTTTGTGAGTGAGGCTTGTGCCCCTTTGAGGCCCACCCTGGGGGTCTGCTGCAGATGGGCAGGCCTGGGAGGCTGCAGGGAGGGTAACCTGGGAGAGCTGTGAGCATTCCTGTTTAGCTGTGCCTTCCTGAGAGCTTCGATGCCTGGCAGTTTGTGACTGTGCCCCTTAGATACACATTTTTTCAGCCCTACCTGAAGTGCTACCGCTCTTTATGCGAGTGGTTCAGGTAGCTATACTGGGACAATTATGTAAGATTATAGGATAATTGCTGTTGGAAGGGACCTCTGGAGCTCTAGCAGCTGCCACCAGGAGACAGTCACTGTATTGTCCTGGGGAGGTTGTGTGCTGGAGAGTGAGCTGCTGACATTCACACTGGGAGAGCTCACCTTGTCTCACCTTCTCCCTGCACCTGTGCCCACCAGAAAGAGCGGACGGAGCGGCTGGTGAGCTCGCCCCTGAGCCAGCTGCTGAGCATGTTTGCGGGGCCCCACAAGCTGGTGCAGAAACGCTTCGACAAGCTGCTGGACTTCCACAACTGCACCGAGCGAGCGGAGAAGCTGAAGGACAAGCGAACGCTGGAGGAGCTGCAGTCAGCCCGCAACAACTACGAGGCCCTCAATGCCCAGCTGCTGGACGAGCTGCCCAAGTTCCTGCGCTTCGCCAAGGAGCTCTTTGCCAGCTGCCTGCGGGGCTATGCCGAGGCACACTGCGACTTCGTGCGCCTGGCCCTGGAGGAGCTCAGACCCCTGCTGTCGGTGGGTTCCCACAGTGCAGGCAGCGCCCTGCGCTCAGAGCAGCACTAATCTGTGCAGGGTTTGTCCCTGAGCCTCACTGTCACGTCGTGGGGGAAGCTGCTACTGCAGTTTCATGCCACAAGTGACTTGTGGAGGGTTCCTGTGGGATGATGTTGGGGCAGGGATCGCAGGGTTATGTTGCAATTGTGTGTAGAAGGCTCTTGGAGCAGTGGCAGGAGAACATTCACCTGGGAGAATTTCAGGTCACAAGTTTGAGGACCACTTAGAGCTGAGTCCAGACAGGACTGCAAACCTGGGTCTGATGCAAGTCATAGGCAGGACTCAGAACCCTGCCATGGTCTACACTGTAGCTCTTGGCCACTTCTCCTAGCACCGGTCACCTAACCAGGATCCCGACTTTGCTCTGGTTTCAGTTGCTGAAGGTGTCTGGCAGGGAAGGGAACCTCATTGCCATCTTCCAGGATGAGCACAGTCGAGTCCTCCAGCAGCTCCAGGCCTTCACCTTCTTCCCAGAGTCCCAGGCAGCTCCCAAGAAGACTTTTGAAAGGAAAAGCATGGAACGGCAGTCTGCCCGGCGGCAGCCCCTTGTTGGCTTGGTGAGTTCTCTCTGCCCAGAGTCAGGGCTTGCAGAGCCCAGGACAGCCACTCACGCCAGCCTTGTTCCTCTGCAGCCAACCTACTTCCTGCAGTCGGATGACATCCGCGCTGCCCTCCTGGCCCGCTACCCCCCAGAGAGTCTCTTCCAGGCAGAGCGCAATTTCAATGCTGCCCAAGACCTGGATGTCTCCCTGTTGGAAGGAGACATTGTGGGCGTCATCAAGAAGAAGGACCCCATGGGCAGCCAGAATCGCTGGCTCATAGACAATGGGGGTAGGTGGCTGTTCCCTGCCCTTGGTGCTTGCTGTGAGTCTCCTCCTCTGGTCTCCCTGTGCCCCAGTCTGAGCTCCCTTCCTCTCCCTCTCTGCAGTGACCAAAGGCTTTGTGTACAGCTCCTTTCTGAAGCCCTACAACCCCCGCCGCAGCCAGTCGGATGTCTCTGTGGGCAGCCACTCTTCCAACGAGTCGGAGCACAGCAGCTGCTCTCCCCAAAGCAACGCCACCCTGACCTTCAGCCCCAGTGGGGCGGCCGTCACCTTCACTCAGAAACCCCTGCAGGACTCTGTCTCCCCGGCAGATGTGGAGGCGGACTCCCCCTCTGTGCCCCAGCTTGGCTCTGGTGACAGGATGGCCCCGCTGGCTGGCACCGTGACATCTCGGCGCCGCCACAGCCGCCCTGAGCAGGGCTGCAGCCCCAGCTCTCGCAACGGGCACCCCACCAAAGCACATCTCAGGTCCACACCCTCCGTGGAGGACAGAGACTCAGGGCTGGAGAACAGCGAGTCAGAGGGCAACCAGGTGAGTCTTCAGCCACCCTCATGGGGCTGGGCATGCCAAGGGCCAACTGCTTTGGCTGGGGACTGAATCATCCTCCTCCCTGGCAGTGACCATGAACATGGAGGTGGGGTATGAGACCTTTTCTTCCTACAACAGAGAACCAGCTTCAGATAGGGGTGGGCAGAGGCCAGGATGGAGCAGGGCTGTCACTGGGGAGAAGGACAAAAGCCCACACATCCTATGCAGTGTGAGATTAAGGCTGTGTGGTGTGACCATCTAACTGATGCTGTCCCCTTGTCTGGCAGGTCTACTACGCTCTCTACACCTTCAAAGGCCGAAACACCAATGAGCTGAGTGTGTCAGCTAACCAGAGACTCAGGATCCTGCAGTTTGAGGACATCACAGGCAATCAGGAGTGGTGGCTTGCCGAGGCCCACGGGAAGCAGGGCTATGTGCCCTCAAGTTACATCCGGAAGACAGAGTACACGTGAGGGCGCAGACAGAGCCTGCACCCCATGCCTTGTTCCTCCTGGGACTGCTAGGGTCTGGGGGAGGCTGGCCAGCCCTGCAGCCCCCACTGCTCACCCTTAAGGCTATGCCTCTCACAGCTGTGCAGTGCTCCTGGGCCCCAAACATGGGCTGCCATCACCCCTTTAGGGGAGGGAGTAGGGTGGGCTGGCCAGGTAGGCAGAAGCAGGCAGCTTGTGTGAGGGCAGAGGTGAGTTCACCTCCAAGGTGTGCTTGAGCCTCCTGTGTCCAGCCAGGAGCAGGGGAGCAAAGCCTGGGACTGTTACTTGCCCAGAAGGGTAAGGCTTGACTCAGGCTGAGGAGCTGCTGTGGATTTAAGTTGTGGAAGGCTAATGCTGAGTTTCTGGAGATTGTCGTTAGTCAAGTAGTATTAAAAGCAACCCAGACTTCGTGAATATGCTCCCTGTGCAGCAGGAGCCTGGTCTCGCCTGTCTCTGCAGGACTTGGGGTGGGACATTTACACACTGCCTGGGGAAGCAGCTCTGAGGTTTGCTGGGAGTAGTTGAGCTCTAGGCCTAGAATGAGTATGGCCTCTGAAACCCTCACAACAAAGCCCCCAGCAGGTGCCTTCTCCCTGTGCTTGGTCTCCCAGGGCTTGGCCTTTCCAAGGCATCAACCATCAGGCTCCCCTCTTTCAGGTGAGCCAGAAGCCCAGAACACCATACCCTTGTCAGCGCAGTATTTGCTGTGCCCAGGACCCATTTTTGCACTGATGTGCCCACCTGGCTGCTCTGGGCTGGAGCAGGAGAGAAGGCAAAGCACAAGCTGTCCTCCAGCCTGTTTTTTTGGGGTCTGACCAGAGTTGCCTCACCTGTGCTTTCCTGCACAGCATTGGAGAGGGTGCTGACATTCTGGAGCGGCAGGCCCATCATCCCTGGGAGGGCTGTGGTGCCTTTTGCTGGATTGGTGTGTGATATGGCTGCTGCCCTGTCCTGAAGGGAAGAGATTGCCTTCATAGGGCAGTGTTTGTATCCCCTGTACTGCTGCTCTGCAAATAAAGATTTGCCTTTGTGTATAGAAGGTGCCTTTGCAAGTGTTGGGAAGCGTGGGAGGAGTGTGTGGCAGGTGCTGCAGCCTCCATGCAGACCCTACAGGGCCAGGAACATTTCTGTTTTGGTGGGGTCCAGCATTCTAGTGCCTTGGTGTTTGTGCCAGCTGCAGCTCAGGCATGAGGAAACACTCACAGGAACCTTCTTTATTAAGATGAAGTGGTGGCACTGGCCTCTTCCCCCAGCTGTGTGTTCCATGACTCTGGGGTTCCAGGGCAGTAGGTGCTGGTGGGCTGAATGTTTCCCTGCTCTAAGTGGGCACCTGCTCTCTGCATGAGATCTGGCCCAAGAACAAAGAGTCAAGGGTCTATAAACAATAACCACCATACTTTGTGTGTGCATGGCTGTACACAGACGTGTGCCTGCTGCTCTCCAGCTTCTCTCCACCACCACCATCAGGTTTGCAGTCTGGAACCACAGCCCAAAATCTGCTCCACAAGTGGTCATGATAACCTCAGGGAGAGGCTCATTTATTTGCCATACAATCAAAGTAGCCACAGGGAAGGCAGGCAGGCAGCCCTGGTTTTGCTACAGAGTCTTCTTGCATGAGTAGAGCTGTGGCTCTCCATTTGGAGTGCCCAGCTCTGTGTAACCTCTGCTGGCAGCTGTGCCACCCAAGCACTAGCCAGGTTTAAAGCTAAACTGAGGCTTGCTTATATGCCTTGACATCAGCCTTGTAGTTGGAAGACTACAAACACTTACAAAAAGTGAATAAATTATTCATTCTTTGATTAAACTGTAAATTTCATTCCATAATGCTAAAGCATCTCTAAGGTAGATTCACCTGGCATGGTGAAGTACAAAAACTAAGATCACCCCCACTGGAGGTCACGATCTCCCTGCCTGGCAGATAGCTTTTCCCCTCTATCCTAGAATAAATTATGCAGCTCCAGACCCTTGTGTGCACAGCAGGTAGGATGTGGTAGTAAGGTTAACAGTTCGCTCAAGTCCCGATGCTCAGGCTCTGGACAGCCAGAGAAGCCACCCTCTTGCTTCCCTGCTGTGGAGAGGCCAATTCCTGGGCAGCTTGGCTGTGGGAGACAGCAGTGCCTGCAGGGTGAGTGGCAGCAGGAGGAGCTGTGACAGCCGGGCCCTGCAGCACTGCCTACAGAGCGGTGCTTTCTGCAGCGGTGATGCCGGCGTCCTTTGCCATGGCGGAGAAGAAGCCCTGCTTCATGAGCAGCTCCTCGGGGCTGTCGAATTCCACAATCTGCCCAGCATGCAGCACCATCACCCTGCCAGAAGGGAACAAGGCCTCAGCTCCCAGGATCCGAGTGGATAGTGCTGCTGGTGCCAGCACTGCCAGCCCACCAAACCCTCACTCCTCCTAAGCCACTCTGTGGTTCTCCTCTCAGCAGTGGTGAGGGCACAGCCCTCCTCCCTGTGTTATGGGTCACACATAAGGTGTCATAAGGTGTCAACAGCAAATGCTTCTATGGTCTGTTGCTGTAAAGAAAGATCCCAAAAAATGTTTCTCCCACAAAGGCAGCACTTCTGCATGGGCATCCCTACTGTCCTTCTGTTCTCTTCACCACTGTGTATTACTGCCCCAGGCTCTGCATCCACCCCTGCCCCTCTGGCTGCATTCTCACTTCCACTGCTGTGCACCTCTCGCCCCATCCCAGGAGTCCAGATCCCCATTCCCTTTGCCCTGCAGTATTGTCCCATGGTACCTGTTGCTGTCCATGATGGTGTGGAGGCGATGGGCAATAGTAAGGACAGTGCAGTCAGCAAATGCACTCCGGATTGTTGTCTGGATTAAATGATCCGTTTCCAGATCTACGGCTGCTGTTGCTTCATCCAGGATGAGGATCTTGGCTTTGCGGAGAAGGGCCCGGGCCAAGCACACCAGCTGCCTCTGCCCAACACTGGGATGAGATGAAGAGCATGAGTTACTGAACTGACGCTAGCAGACCTAAAAGCCTACTGCATCTCACTGCTCTGACCCCAACACTGTCCCTGCCTTTCCCCACTGACCATCTGCTCCCCTGAGCACCACGTCCCTCAGCATATTACTCTCTGGGCCACCATAGAAGGGTTGGCTCACACTAGCTCCTTAAGAGCCTTGACTCCTCGGCCATTTTCTTCCATATTCACTTTCCAGAAGCTTCTGTGCATCATCCCTGGACAGCCACTTTGCTAGAGGCTGTTGTTCCAGGCTGGCCCTTGGGATCTAGAGAAGGGAGGGGAGCTGGGCCTGCATCCGCTCCTCTGCTCACCTCAAGTTCTCCCCTGCCTCGCTCACGAGATGCAGCAGCCTCTCAGGAAGGCCTTGCACGTATGTCTTCAGGTGAGCCAGCTCCAGGGCCTTCCAGATCTCCTCGTCTGAGTACTGGTCAAAGGGGTCCAGGTTCATCCGCAAGGTTCCAGTGAAGAGCACAGGGTCCTGCCAGGGACAGCACCGTGTTCAGCCTCACCACAGCCATTTAGCTGGGCCAATGGCTCCTGGCCTCCAAGTGTGGCCACATCCTGCCCATACCACTGCCTGCGCCTGGCAAGGGATGTGGTGGCAGCCTGCTCACAGGCCTTTGGCACGTCCACAGCACCCAGGGACACACTGAGGCCATGCAGTGCCTGCAGGGGCCCTGCAGCAGTGGGATGTAGAAAGGTGGGGATCAGCTCACCTGGGGGATGATGGTGAGGTTGTTGCGCAGGTCGTGGAGGCCAATTGTTGCTATGTCCACGTCGTCGATGATGATCTTCCCTCCGGCCGCCTCCAGCACCCGGAACAGGCAGTTGGTGAGGGAGGATTTTCCAGCCCCAGTCCGGCCCACAACCCCGACCTGTGGAAGAAGCTTTTTAGACCAGCTGACAGGGCTGTAGAAAAGAGGGCAGATGCTCTCCATCTTGGTCTGGTGGGCCTTCCAGCCCTTACCATCACCCAGACTGTCTGCTTTGGTTCCTTTCCTGCAGCTCAAGTGCCCAGGAGCCACATCCCATCACCATCCCACCCCAGCACATGGACTGAAGCCAAGAAGAAGAAACAACTAACAGAGTCTCTGCAAAGAGCATAGTGAGGGCAGAGGCACCTTTTCAGTGCTCCCAATTTTACAGGTGATCCCCTGAAGAACCAGGTCCAGTTCAGGTCGGTAGCGAACTTTGTAGTCAATGAACTGGATCTCGCCTCTGCTGGGCCAGCCACGTGGTGGACGGTTTTTTGTCACCCATGGAGCCTGGGGGAGGGCACAGGAGCATTAGGGGGGTTCACTCTGCAATGCTGACTAGCACCAAGCTGTGCAGCAGGTGTTTGCCCAGACCCTGGATTCCTCACCTCATTCTTCACCGTCGTGTACTCATGGACCCGCTCCACAGCCACGATGTTGGTCTCCAGCTCCGAAGATGTCCGCACCAGCCAGTTCAGTGTCTGGGTCACCTGCATGGCAGAATCAGACAGTGCAGAGCTCAGTGGCACCCAGGAAAAACCACCTCCCACCTCAGCCCAGGGAATCGTCCTGGCCATGAGCATACCTGGCCTGGCCCCTAATCACTGTCACTGCTGAGACACAGCCCACCTCTCCCCAGCCCATCTCTCCCCAACCCTTCAAAAACTTTGCTGCAGCATCTCTGATTCACAGCAGGGTTATATTCCTCCTCATGGCAGCAAATACCCTACTCAGACTGGGATGAATATGTGCCTCCCGCTCTATAGCCACTCCCCAGGTGATGGGATACCCCAGATAATCCCATTTCCATGGATCAGAGCTGGTGGCAGGGCAGCACCCTGCCAGCAGCCCAAAGCTCCCAGAGACAGCCCTGTCCTGGAAGGAGAAAATGCTTTCAGTGACTCACATTGAGAGCGGAGGAGACAGAAAGACCCACGATGCCACCCTCCAAAGTGCCCTTGGCAATCACTGCCAGCAGTGCAGAGAAGAAGACCACCAGGCTCCCAACAAACTCCAGACGGATGGCCAGCC